TTAGCATTATATCTTAACCATAATATATGGCACATCATTTATAATTTCCGCTGAAAATCAACATCCAACTCAAATTCGAAATTCAATTATTGTCCGTTTCCTGTTGCCGTCATCGCTGATCACCAGTTTTACAGGAAATCCACGGCACTTGTTGAGCAATTTTCGATGCGTTTCGCTTCAAGCAACTCGAATTGCATTTAGCACTCTTTTCTACTATAAATACTATAATTGCTGATCAAGCAAATATCCTGGGCAGTTGGTGTCATTTGATACGAATAACTTTCACGTATGTGAGTTTTATTTATAGTTTGTTCAACACTCACGTTAAACTAATATTACTTTTATGGCGCTGTAAACTTCTCATTTAAATAAAGACCAGGATAAAGCCAGATTTTACTGGCTCGTATAGTCTTTTTTTTTTATTTACCCACTATCCGCTGATTGGGAGTAGTGCTATAAAAAGCACGGATATGCTTGCGATCATTTACCCAATTAACGAAAAAAAGCAGTCTACAAATGATATTAGGTGATATAAAATGGAAAACTTATATTGCATGTATATATCATTCTGTTGCTATCTTATATTTCGGTACTTTTTAAAAATAGAGCAGCATTAAGCAGTTTGGATCCCAAAGTGCACATTTTACAAATGATTGTAATAGACATATTTTCCCTTCGTCGCCAATTAATTCCAGAGGAACCCATTAAGATTCCTGTGGGTACACTTTCCATTCATTCAACTCCCCCTTGAGTCCCCACAACAATCACTGCCGAAATTCCTTAGCATCTGCAACTATTTGTTGTGATTTGCAATATGTATTTCATTTATGGGCCACATGTGAACCAGAAGCTGGATGGAGGAACTTGGATGAAGTGTTGTCCACCTGGACGTGAAACTGCGGTTGGTAATGGTGGTCATACAGTGGCTTAGTGATGCACCGCGATAAAACGGTTTGAATTTTATTCTAAAATTCTAAAATTCCCTTCTAAAAATTAATTAAAATAAATATGTAAGTTTGAGCAAAGCAGTACCGTCTTTGGCTGAAATATTTATCTATGACACTTTCGATAATAATTATGTTAATTATATTCAACTATTTTGTATATAGATTTGATAGGTTTTATAGGTTTTACTACCATAACTATTTGGAAAATATATAGGAACATCTGAAAATAGTTTTCGGTGTGATGGCCAAGCGTCCGCATCAAAGTCTCGCTCTTGTCATAAAAAATGCGCAAAGTGCAACAATTTAAAAATGCTAAATATGCGCGTATGTGCGGAATGATTACTGCCGGGGCTTGAGACTCTGAATCTGGTACTGGATCTGGGACTATGGCTGAGATCGGCAAAAGCAAAGGCTGTGGAACTTTGGGGGGCCCCGAAAGGGGGATTAAAAAGCCGCAGTTACTCACCGACTGACTGCGTTTAGTAATTATGCGCGCAACACGTTCAAGGCGGCAAGACCATTGCAACATGTTGCCATTGTTGCTGCCACTGCAGTTGCAGTTGCAGTTACTGCTGCAGTTGCTGCTGCTGCTGCTGCGGCTGATGTGGTGACTGTTGCCGGGCATTGCGTAAGCTCCTTTGGAAAATTGCATTAGAAAATCCACTTGGCGGCAGCGGCAACAATTAAAGCCGCAGCTCGCATGTTTCGCTCCAAGTCGCCTGGGAACCACAAAGGCCAAAAAGTCTCGCTGCCAATTGGGCACCACCGTAAAGGCACTTCAACGGTCTCTTCGACGTTCTAAAAGAGGTTTATGATTGGGCTTTGAAGGGGGAGCCCGAGTAAGCGGAATTCTGGGAACACTGGAGGTTCAGTAAATAGTCGGTGGTGTTTGAATTGAATATAAATCCAATTAAAAGTTATACTGTGTTCTTCAAAATAAACTAAAATATGCAACTTTCAAACATGACTTAATTAGTATAACTTATTCTTAGTTAAACTTAACCGAATGGTATTATCAAGTAGTCAAATGAGCATTGGTGCTACTAAAACAGTGCCTCGTAAAAGTATGCACTGCATGGAAGTTTGCCCCCTGATCCCTGCAACTTCTGGCCAAACCTCTTGGCCAACGGCTCACCCCGCCATAATGCGCACAATTTATTGGCATTGCGAATCTGTGGGGCGATGTGAATCGCACTCGAGTCGCTGGTGCAAAGAAAAAATTACAAATAAATGGGAAAAATATAGAAGTCCAAGTTAGGCATGGTCAAAAGGCAGTCAAGGTGGCTACTTGGCAAACCCTTGGGCGCAAAGCAGCACCGACACCGAAAGCGCGGAAAATCTTTGCTATTTTTCACCAATTAAAAACGGATTCTGCGCAATTTTCCATGCCATATGCAAGTTATAGTTAAGTGAAAAATGCCAGCGAATATATTTCTTGCGTAGGACTCTATTTATGTGGCCCAAAACAAAAAAAGAAACAAGAAAACGAGAAAACATAACCGAGAACTTTATTTATCACATTTAAAATGCGATAAAACAGCATTTCAGTGGGGCACTGCATAAATTACGTTTATGCATTTAAGTTATGCATTTGCACAGGCCCTAAGTGTCAAAATAATTCATTATAATTGCCCACAGATCATTTTTGTCAACGATTTTTTCAGCTTTGTTTGCATGGCGCGTATTGCGTGCGTTTTCCTATCGTTTCTTTTTCGACTTATTTCTTTTATTTATTTGGTTTCCTTTGGCTTCTTACGCTTTTAGTTTTTATTTTTTATTTCTTTTTTGCCATGTCGTCGCGTTTTGGGCCGAAAGAGCAACAAGCGAGTGAATGAGTGAGTGAATAATTGCAGGCATGCCATGTTGTTTATACTAAATTTAATTAATGATGACTTTTATTTATGAATGCGTGGCCGTGCGTTGTGCATTCGGTCACATAAATCGGAGCTGTGCCACACCCCCAATGGGGCGATAAGGGGGCGCATGGGGCAGCAATGTCTTCGGCAGCTGAAATCTTCGGTTAGCCAAGGGCTAGGATTAAATTAAATTGATTAGCACTGTGACTATCTTAATTGAGATCTCTACTTCGTTTATCATAATTTCAGAAGCAATAAATTCTAATTAGCAGTTGGAAGGCTAATGGATTTTTGGTTCTTTCCGCGCCTCATTTATTTACTTCTCAGATCAGCAAAGATACCTTCTTATCTGCTTTGTGGTATGTTAATGTCTATTATCAATAACCTTACTTTCATACAAGTTTGTATGACCATGGTAGCTAACCAATTCCTATTTGACTATCCTAAACCCATTTTCATATAAAAGAAGTGTATGTATTTTTACAGTCTAATTTTAAATATATTTTATCAGCTTTTTTTGTAATATCCTCCCCCCCACTTTACTTAATTTTCTCGTAATTTGGCTATAATTATTTCTACGACGTTCAGCAATTTTAATTAGTTTTGTGCGGCGCGGTGTATCTGAATCAGTATCTGCAAATTGCCCATGGCCCCTGGAGCGTTCCACTTAGCCCCCAGATATAAAACACAAAAACGCGGCGGCAATTGGCTGTGCCCCCATATATGGACGACGAGACCGCAAAATATTATTGCGCTGAACAAATTTTTAGTTGATTTTGTTGTGAGCCATAAAAAATGTTAACATCATTATAAGACTTTAACACCTGCAACAGCTGGCCGAGCATTTTTCGCATCTCGCATTTATCGCTAATCGAATTGAGTTTGCTGCCACTGCGGCAGCGACAAAATGCATCGCTATCCATGTCTCTAGGATCTATAGAATGTTGTCGCTTTCAGTTCGCTTTGAATTTGCGTTTTCTCACGCTCCTTTTTGGATTTGGAAGCGAGGGAGGGTGCACTCCAAGAGGGGCTTTTGGGGCACTGCAGATCGCCGACCAATGAGCAGTACCATCCAGATGCTATTTTTTTTTTTTTTGTTTGCGGCTTTTTTGCGTGCTCGACCGCAGGGCGAATGTTTTGACTATGCCACCGACGCGGCATGCCGCCTGTGGACCGTCTCCTTGGCTTAACCCATTAACAACCGCTTCGAAATGGCGACACAAACTCAAGAAAATTGTATAAGGCATTTCTAAACATTTAATTGAAATTTATCACGGTAAAAAAAATGATTCCTAGGCTCGCCAATTTCAGAAATTAATTAAATTAAATAGAAACAGTTTATAAAAATAAAATATTAGAATTTATCACGGTAAAAAAAAGCATGCTTAAATTCGCCAATTTCAGAAATTAATTAAATTAAATAGAAACAGTTTATAAAAATAAAATACTAGAATTCATTTATTTCTTGACTAAAATGGCATGGTATATCAGAAATTAAAAAGAAAAACAGTTTATAAAAATAAAACATTAGAACTCATTTATTTCATGACAAAAATGGTATTTGTTATACAAATATATCGCAATAAACGGTTTTACAAAAGAAAAATATATACTGTTAGGAAAACTAAATAATATTTTTGGTCCAAATAAATATTTAAATTCAAATAATTCAAACAATTAATTGTTGTATGCAATTTAGTAAAGGTAATGGTTATGAATGTAACTTTTGAAATATTTATACATTACAAAAGTAGTTAATATATTCAAGTCATATTTTGGTAAATTTCATACCGATTTTCGAGTGGCTTTTGAAATCGAGTGAACGACTTTTGACAACAGCTAATTAATGGGTTAACACCCCTTAAGCCAGTTGCACTCAATGCAAAGTGAGCGGCGGCCGTGCAACAATGTTGTCTGCCACACAGCTGATGCCTGATGCCAGTTGCCCGATGGTCGATGCCGATCCCACTGACTATATGATTTATGTCCCTGCACTCGGTTGGCGCCGCTTCTTTACCTTCCATCCGGCTTGCCGAAACCAATGAAAATGTTTGTTTTCCCATCTCTTAGATAAATCACTGCGAGTGATTAAAGGGATTTTACTTTCACATTGTGAATTAATTTGTGTGCGGCGATTACGCAGCATACAAACATAAAAAACAATCAATTTTGAATCGGAAAAAAAAGGAACGCAAGATATAGTTTTGTGCTTTAATTCATGTATTTTTGGTAACAAATTCTGCAAAACATTCATCGTTCATCTCCAAAGTCCATAACATGGTATCAACTATTTTGATATTGAGTATTCAAATTGAGAAAATGGTTTAACAGGCTACGATATAAAGATGTAAGGAACGAGACTGATACAGCCTCTTGGAACTGATTCGTTTTGATTCATTAATTTTAATGCCTGAGTTTCGACTAGTTTCGCTTCCATAGCAATCTAGTTGTAGTTCTGAATGCTCTTGGCCACATGGGCGGCAATGAACTGGTACTGCATGTTGAAAGTCTGCTGCCACAAAGACTGCGCGTTGTTTGTGGCATTCTGCACGGGAATGATATTAGTTACAGTTACTGAATCATCATCCGAAGATTGGTCGCTGCTGCTCGCTGCTTTGGATCCAGGGGAGCTTGATCCTGCCAAGCTGGCACTGCTCTGCGATTCCGAGCTCGACGAGTATTCGTATTCATTATCTTCAGTCTCGTCTTCCGAGAAATAGGATGCATCAAAATAATTTCCTGATAAGATGGAAGAGTCCGTTTCATAAACGGAAGTATCAATTCCCGACGAAGCACTCTCGTTGGTCTCTACAAAACCACTCGATGAATTCGGCGCATCGGTGCCATCGCCCTCATCGTCCGAAATTATCTGTACATCTACGTCGTACTCCTGCGAATCCTCTGTGTCCGATTCACTTCCTGAACCCACTTCATCATCGGCCTGTGGTGGCATTGGTGGAATGTCCATCTGATTCGTCACATGGACACTGAACTTGTTCTTTGGTTCCGGCTTCTCTGATATCAAAGACTCTAGGCCCTGATGGTGTTCAATGGATGTGAAGGCCTCCTTCATGGCATCCATTACATGCTTCTTCGCCTCCTTAGTATTGTCATAGTAAAGTGCCAACATGGATTTATAGAGACAATCCAGCAAAATGGGAACCCTCGCATTCTCAATATGATGTTTTTTTGCATATTTGTAGAGCCGTTTCAAAAATCTTTCTTGATTTATAACTTTTTGAAGCAGGTGACATAGTTTTATGTGTGGCAAAAGTGAGACATTATTGTATAGATCACGTTTCTGTAAGTTAAGGTGCACTTTCTTATTTACTAATTGTGATATTCCAGATCTGTATAACGATCCCACCTTTTGTTTAAACTTGCGTTTAACTTTCGCGCTGAGTTTAGGAAATTTCCTTTTGTATAGTAGCAGAGGCCATTTCCGCTGCCCACTCTTCTGCTGACGCTTGTGCTTGGACTTAAATCGCTCCCAGATCTCCTCCTCATCGCTGGTTGCATAGAAGGTGTCGTAGGACGTATCGCTATGATAGCCACAACCCATGCTATCCGAACTGATGCTACTGGCATCGTCCACCGTGTTCGATATTACCATGTTCTGTATGGTCATCGAACTGGTCTGCGTTGGAGCAGCTAGGCAATAGGTCTTGTTGTTAATCGAATTGGCTGGCGGCGCAGGTGGGGTCACCGTGGTTGGAGATGGCTCCTGGGTCAGGTCCAGCGGTGTTAGGCTTGGTGTTAATTCGGGAGATATAATCTCTGCAGGGCTTAGAATAGAATTTGTCGGCACCTGGGCACCCAACGTTCCATTAGCAGGCTGATTCTCTTTGTCGTCCGCTGTTGGCTGTGTGCGTTCGCCTTTATCGTTTTCTACATAATATTCGTTGACTGTGATCTCCGGTGCTGGCTGTACCTCAGTATTTTGCTTCTCTATCTGGGATAAAGCTCTTGTAAATAACTTGGATGGACAAATAGACTTTTTGTTTCTTTCCGACTTGTTCAATTTAGAATCCTCGGCTTTGGGATTTGTATCTTTAAGATATCCCTGCTTTGCAATTTCCTTCACAACCTCATTTTCTTCTTTGACACCAATATTCTTATTATTATGTGAAGCTTCCGGTAGGTTGTTCAACTCCACCTCCTTTTCCTGACTAACATTATTACTCAGTTGTTCTTTATTTATATGTGATTCAACATTATCTAAGGCCACTGGTAGTTTTTCCATTTTCTTGAAATAATCATGATCCTTTCGAATATTTTCTAACTCCACGGACGGTTTTCTCGATGAAACGTCCGGATTTTCATGGTCTCTCCCAACGTTTTCTTTGTTGCTATTTTCTTTATTAGGAACCTTGTGTTTCACAGGCATTTCCTGTAACGGATTCTCCTCCTTGATATAATATCCAAAGTTGTACTTTTCGAAGTCCCAAAAATTAAATTCCTTTGGCATTGGCTCCTTGGGAAACTCCAGCACAGACCAAGCCGTGGCGACTTTTTGTGACATTTCCCTAAATTTCTGGCTCTCCTTCTTGGAGGCAATAAACGTGATGGCTATGCCTTTGGAGCCAAACCTACCGGCTCGTCCAATGCGATGCAGATAGGTGACATGATCCTGCGGTGGATCAATGTTGATGACCAGGTTGGCATGCGGTGAGTCCACTCCGCGTGCCATCAAATCGGTGGCCACCAAGATGCGCATTGTAAAGTTTCTATAGCCCTCGAAGACATTCAAGCGCTCCGATTGATCCATGGCTCCCGAGATCAAATGGCACTCGACACCGCTGGCTGTAAGATAGTTCTTGTAGGAATCCGCACGCATTTGTGAGCTGGCGAAGATGACGGCCTGTTCGTAGGGCAACTGGTTAAAGATCTGGCCAAGAACCTGCAGCTTTAGACGCATCTCCTCCACACTATTGGTCTGCTGTGGCAACTCGTACACAAACTGACGAATGCCCAGGAGTACGGTGGCCCTTTCGGAATTCGATATTAGCATGGGTTTATGCATGATCTTGGCCAGACGCTCATCCAAATCCTGATCGTAGGTGGCACTGCAGGCAATTATTTGCCGGTTCTTGGGCAGTGCCTCTATCAGTTTACTGACCGTATCCTGCAGGCTCTTTGTCTGATACAGCTGATCCGCCTCGTCCAGCACCAGAAGCCCCAGCTTGGACACATCCAATACCCGATTCTGATACAGATGCAGCAGACGTCCCGGTGTGCCGATGATGACCCGACTTGCTTGCATTCGTCGGCGATCTTTGGACACATCGGTGCCACCGATAAAGGCAGCGCACTTGAAGTCCCGGAAGGATTCGCACAGATAGAAAAACGTGTCCTCCACCTGGATGGCCAGCTCTCGAGTTGGGACCACAATCAGGGTATGAGGTCGCGTCATTCGGGGATGGTAGCCCTGCATGGCGGCTATAACGTAGATCAGGGTTTTGCCCGTTCCACTCTTCGACTGTATTATTAAATCTGCAGATATGTATAGATAAATATGCATATATGGGTAATCTTTTGCAAATGTTGCGGCCTGTGATATAGTTACCCATATTGGCCAGTGCCATGGGTATGGCAGCCGCCTGAATCTTCGTTGGCGTCACAAAATTGTGGCGCTTCAATCCGTGCAACAGATTCCGGCTTAGACGCAGTTCCTCGAAGGTCTTCACCTGTCCAGGTGCCACATCGCTGCTCCGCTCCTCCCCGCCAGCTAAACTGTGCGCTATTTCGCGCTCCATCCCGCGTGATTTTCCACTTTTTGGCCAAAATTTAAAACGACTTGGATTCCTTTTCTCACTTAACACTTTTCCATTGCCGGCCAAAAAATCCAGCACTTGCCTTTATTTATATACTAAAATATACCACGAATATACCAATCAGCCATTTACGCGGAAACTTTTCTACAGTAATGAAATACCTGAATACTGTTAGCTAAGTTTCTTACCAGGCTTGTTGTCTGCGCTAAATAATTAGCAAGCACTCGAACCAGTTTAACTAATAATGAAAAACTATTTGCTTTTGAAATCACAACAATATATTGTTTTACAAAAAAGAAAAATATATCTATATATATTTTATAATTCGGTTGCATTAATATGGAACTTATATTTAGAATATGTTAGAATAAGTGTAGATTGTCAAGCACAAAAATGCAGTTTATAGCACAACCAATAGTTGCTCTCAAACTGTTCAAGTTGGCGGGAATTTTAAATAATTTATGTCGCTAATTTATGATGCTAATATATGTTAGTTAAAAAAATTGAGTATTTTAAGCTCGCTGCATCATATATTATTTAATGTAATACATTAATTTATAACAAACAATAAAATAAACGAAATATTATTAACATTGTATGTATTGTATACTTTGAAAAACCACGTATACAAAGAAAACTTGTATAAATTCAAAAATTTAACGACTTAACTTTTTTAGCCATCATGCTAACAATGTCAGAGCACTTTGACGTCCATTATTATTAGATAACAAATTTAAAAATCGCCTTTAAAATTTGTTTTTGAATTCAAAATTCTAAAACCATGTTCAATCCCAAAATACGAGACATTGGATACTTCGTGCTGCTGACATCCCTGCACTTGGGCTCAAATCTTCAGCCTGTCATCGAGGCGTATGCCAATTTGAAGTCGGTCTATCCCTCGGTGGATCGTAATCTAACACTCCAATTGGGCTATAAATATAATCACTGGATGCTGTTCAAGGCCATAATGTATTCCCTACTAACCATGATCGGAGTTTGGTACTGCCGGCACTTGCAAAGTATGAAAAGTGTGGTCTCAGTGGATGGGAAGGGTATCCTTAAAACTAAGGCCACAGCTGCCGAGCAAGTCAAAAACAATTGGATCAGTAAACAGAATTCCAGTATACCATTTCCGGGTAACATATTCCTCATATTTGCTTTGCCCTGGATATTGACCTCTGTGGCCAGCGGATTGATCAACTATATTCGATTTTATATGGTGATTCGGCATTTCTGCATATCTAATTGGAGGGCTATTCAGCTTTATGGAGAACTGCAAGGCCTTTTTTGGCATCGTTTTGCATCAGTGGCTTTAATACCCTATTGGTCGCAAATTATCCACGGAGGAGTATCCTTGGAGAAGGCGTCACATCTATCTGGAAATTTTATTTCCATTGAAACGCATCTGTTGGACTGAGCATGGCAATCTTTATTTACATTTTGTATTTTATGTTTGAAACCAAAATTAAAAATACAGAAAATAAATCGATTTTTATCAATAGTTTTATGATTTTGATTGTTTCCGCAGCACAAATCAGTAACCTTATATTATTATAGCATTATTTGAACAATTGGATTCGTCAATGCTTTATTGTTGGTTTTAATTTGTTAACAATATTTGTATTGTTCCTTTTCCTTCTGCTGTTTCGCATGCGACAATAAACGACATTTTCAATCAACACAAGAGAAAAGTTTTCTATGAACTTTATGCACCGCTTGGCATTTTATTGTTGGAAAAAACTTTTCCACCACGTGGGAAATATGCGGCAATCACTTCTCCTTGCTTACTTTTATTCAGTGGAAACTCGCACTAAATAAAAGTGAAAGTAGTACACAAGTCCTACCGGCCCGCACGAAAATATACTTAAAAAAATGTTGGTGTCCTTTTAAAATTATTTGCAGAGCCTTTTATAAGGAAGAATTAAATTTAAGACCTTTAGAAAATTAAATGGTGATTCACATGCATAGACTTTAGCTTTTAAATAATTATTTATTACCGTAAGTAATCTCAACATCACCGACATGACACTCAAACTGATCAAAGTTCACGTATAAACGAGAATTCTCCGAGCACATTTCAAAATTATACCCGAATAAACATTTCATGTAAATTGCTTTTGTGCCGAACGTTATTCGCGCTTTGGACACTCAAAATATTGGGCTGAATCATCGACAGGATCTGTGGCGGTCAGCAAACAGGGAACAGGACACTGGCAAGGATCATTTCTTGAGTTCTCTACAGGCAACCCACACAATACGGGTCCACTTTCGAATCCCCATTTCGGTCCACAGTTTCGACTTCTTGGTAAGTAATCAAACTACCAACTACACCGTGAGGAATGTAGGTATCATTTAGGGGAACCAGTTGAAACAATTCTTACATGATAAAATTTTAGAATGGATCATTGGTGGGTTCTTACAAAGTTCATTTTGATAACTTACCAGATTTTAAAAAGGTGGTTTCGTCTTTGATGCAACACTGCAAATAAGGAAAATAAATATGTATTACATTTTTCGTCTACTTTAAAATTAAATGCATTATTAACGAGACTAAAATCAGCAATCACTTAGCTGCCGTGGGAATTATATATTATTTCTGCAAGGGTATAGGCTTCCTTTCATGTTTTTTATGCACTTATATGTTATTAAGTTATTAAGATCTAAGCTAATAATATCGGGTGTCCAAATAAAGCATAGTCAATATATTCCGCTAGTGACGCTGATCTTTTTCCATAACTAGTTTTGACTTTCCATAAGGCAGCTATTTGATATAGTCGCCCGATCTGGGAGGTTTCGATTTATTTAACTCATATACCGTTCTTTTTCTTAAAACATGTTCGTCCATATTGATCGTTCTCATTTTCAAACAAGAATTCTTTGGATCTAGCACATGGTCAAAGGCCTGAGAATTAAATTTAACATAAATATAATAAAAACAAATATAATATAACATAATAAATACAACAAGTTTTCATAATTTTATTGCCCACGAAGATTATTTTGCCAACTCCAACTGTGGCTACAAGTTCAAATGTTATATGGAAATATTAGTGTGTTATTAGTATATTAATATGTCATACCAATATGAAGTATTGAAAGTATGAAAAACCTCCAAATGTACATATAATGGATATTATAGGTTTTCATATTTGACACTTAAGCATTTGAAATGCTGTATTTAATCTGATCTAGTATTCCGTCTCTTTACAGTTAAGAAAAAATTGATTCGGGTTGATTTAGTCTTACTGTTTTTAACAACGAAAGCAGACAACGCATTTCGTTCGTTCTTTTTTTTAAATATACATTTTACGTTCGCATATGAAACATTTTTGAAACTTTTTTTTTTGGACACTTGACAAAGCTTTCGAACGTGGCAGGTCAAAATTATTAGAGACAGTTCGAGAGACCAATATATATATACACATACTTCGGGTGTTGCCGTAAATTGTGAAAACACAAAACAAACGTCCAAAATTCTGCAGAAATAGGTCGCGTATATACTGCACTACATATAGTACTCTATCCAAGTTTGAGCAATATGCGTGGACAACTGTTGCTGAAGGGACCCGCATTGGCGAGGAGTTTGAGCCGGTGCCGTGTGAATGCGTTGCCGCAAATTGGATCAGTTCGCCATGTGACCGCCGGCTGTGGAGCTGGTGATGTCGTCAAGGGCGGCAAAGGAATCGTCCTGGGCCTGTACGAAAAGGAGTCGGGTAAGGGTCCTCGACTAACGCCTGCCGGCGAAAAGTTTGACGATCGCGCGCAGGGCAAGTTATCCGAGTTGATTTGCGAAACCAAATTGACTGGACGTTTGGGCCGCGGCAAGGTCTTTAACAATGTGGACAGCGAGTTCCGTTCCATATGCGTGGTGGGCGTTGGCCTCGAAGGCATTGCCTTCAATGAACTGGAAATGCTCGATGAGGGCATGGAGAATGTGCGTATAGCCGCCGGAATTGGTGCGCGATCATTGCAAAGTATTGGCTGCTCGGAGGTGCATGTGGACAATATGGACTATGCCGAACAGGCTGCCGAGGGAGCGGCACTGGCCATTTGGCGATATGAGGAGAACCTGGCCAAGAAGTATCGCAGCACTATACCGAAACTGGAGCTGCATGGTTCGCCGGATATCGAGTCCTGGACGAGGGGCCTGTTCAAGGCGGAGGCACAGAATTTGGCCAGGAGACTGTGCGATGCCCCGGCCAATTGTATGACACCGACGATTGTGGCGCAGGCTGCGGTGGATTCACTGTGTCCATGCGGCATCACCGTGGAGGTGCGTACCATGGAATGGATTGAGCAGCAACACCTGAACTCCTTCCTGATGATTGCCAAAGGCAGTTGTGAGCCACCCGTTCTGCTCGAGGTGGCCTATTGTGGCACCGCACCGGAGGATAAGCCCATACTGCTGGTGGGTCAGGGCATTACCTTCAATTCCGGTGGCATCAATCTGCGCCCTTGCAAGGGAATGGATGAGTTTCGCGGAGATCTCACTGGTGCAGCCGCCATTTTGGCCGCCATGCGAGCAGCAGCTGCGCTTTCCCTGCCCATCAACATAACTGCTGTGATACCACTGTGCGAGAATCTGCCCTCTGGAATGTCCTGCAAGCCGGGCGATGTGGTCACCTTGCTGAATTCCAAATCGCTGGCGGTGCGTAACATAAGTCGAACTGGAGTGGTGGTCATCTCGGATCCCATGCTGTATGGCCAGATAACGTACAAGCCCAGGCTCGTCGTGGATGTGGGCTCCATGTGCAAGGGCGTGAAAAAGGCGGTGGGCGGTGGAGCCACTGGAATCTGGTCGAATTCTCACTACATATGGAAACAGTTCCAGCGGGCCGGTTCCTTGACCGGCGATCGCTTGTGGCGATTCCCCCTGTGGCGCTACTACAAGGATCGTGTGGCGGAACACCTCAGCTTTGACCTTCTGAACGATGGCGAGGGATATGCCTCATCTTGCCTGGCAGCTGCTGTTCTACACGAACTCGTGCCCTGCAGCGATTGGGCCCACCTGGATACCTATGGCACTGGACTACTGAGCACCTATGGACTGATACCCTATTTGACAGCTGGCAGGATGACTGGCAGGCCGACCAGGACTTTGGTGCAGTTCCTCTACCAAATCGCTTGTCCCGAACAGCCCAAATAATTGACGTTCAATATGCTTGGACGATGTCTGCGGGTGACTACGATTACGTTTTGATTGGTTCTTTGACAGGCGACTCTTCAAAAACCCCGAAAAATGTATGGTTGTCTTCAACTGTGTATACATATCTGATATGGGTTGGCAATGTTCACCCAACGTTTTTATCTGTTGACCAAAGTCCCAGGAGAAGGGATCAGAGCTCGTTCAATGTTTGTATTTAATGTTTATGACTCGGCCGCATCCCGGGGCTGAGTTGGATGGCAGAGATTGTCTAGAGTCCAAAAGAAATTCAAATTCACACATAAATCATTGTATCACTATATTGTAAACTTTCGGCTGACAATCAGATGTAATAAATTTTAGGGTCCTCTTAAAAGAACTGACACGATATTTCAATCAATTAAGGGTAAGTTAATAATTTCTTCCTTCTATATTCAACAAGTTGGCACAGGAATCTTTACTCCTGCTTAGTGTCGTCCGACTTTAATGATGAACTATTAGGCACAGCTTGAACCAATTTGATGCATTTTTGGGTGAAAAATATACCCACTAAACTGCCGTCCAAGGTCCTCAGACGGCCAACGTCAATGTCAGGCGAACACAAATAGCTGAATTCCACCCAATCTGCAAGCCACGTCGACTTTTGGCATATCAATGAGGCGACCGATAAAAGGATGAGGCTGATGGGAAAGTCTGCAGAACTGGAGTGACAGGATATCCAAGTTTATGGCAAAGTTTTCCTCACGTTATTGATGTCCGGCTCAGCTGGGCTTAAATTTCAAACTTTTCCGGCACACAAGACGCGCTTTTTTTTATTTTTAGCTCGGAACAATTGAAAGGCTCCTCCGATGGCAATGTATTTGTCGACTAATTCAATTGGTTGATGTGAAAAATTCTTTAGAAAAATACTCGATGAAATTGCCAGAAAAAAACTGGAAGAACTGGACTCGCATGCATTTTAAAACCATTTCTCAGGAAGTTGCTGCCGCCGACATTAGCAGTCATTTATCTCCATCAGCAGTTTCGATTGAGGTTTCGATTTCGATTTTTTCGCTCAAGTACTAATTGAGTTGGTTCATAATAAGTGTGTGAGTGCACGAGGCAGCTAATCTATCAATGTCAGTTTTATGTACATATGCCCCATGTTTGGCTTTAAAAATATTTTGCAAATATTTTTTACGGACCTGGCAAAATATGTGGCCTGCACTGAAATAATCGAAATTGTTGAACATCAAAGAGCTTAAAAGCATACTTTTAAAGACCTTTGTTAAATACTAAATTTATTTATCAAATTGTGCTTGTAAAAGCAATTTCTATTCTGAAAATAATATATTTTATATAAAT